ACCTTTTAATGGATAATTTCTATAATTTATTAATGCTGACTGAAGGTCTGCATGCTTTCTTTCATCTATGGTTTTCCTTAACATGTTTGTTGCAATTGACACTGCTTTTTCTGCTAATCCATTTGAACTTGGATAATAAGGACTACGGAAGATTAAAGTAAAGTTCCAATTTCTGCTAAACTTTCTAAATTTATCACTATTATATGGTACATTGTCAGTTACAAGAAAATCAAATCGTGCAAGAACTGTCTTAATCTCAGCAATTGCTGAATCAGCACTTTTAACTTTAATGGGTAATACCTCTAACCAGTAAGAATATGAGTCAAATAAAACTACATAACTTTTTCCAGCATTTGTGAAAATGTCGGACCCAACCCTCTCCCATGGCCTTTTAGGTAGTGGATATGATAATAGAGTTTGTTTTGGGTTTTTTCTAGCAAATTTTTCATAACTTTTACATGCCCTTATATATGATTCAATATCCATCGCCATACCAGGCCAATAATAAATTTGGCGTGCTAGTGCTTTTATTTTTTTCTATGCTTAAATGTCCCTCATGAAGTAATCCTAGAACTTCTTTTCTTAATAAAAAAGGAACAACTAATTAATTGTCTAGAAAAAGAAGGTCATTGGTTATAAATAGATTCTCCTTTAGTTTGGCAAAGTGTCTGGAATTTTCTGGAATTTTATATTTTTGCTCTGGCCAGCCACTGATGATAAAGTCAAAAACAACTTGTAGTTGGGGGTCTGCTATTGTCTCTTGTCGAAACTGATTTTTTCGTTCCTCAGATAGCGGTAAATCATTGACAATTAAATGAACAGCAAACTCTATCTCTGTATCAACAGATCTTTTGTTGTATTTTAGAAATGCTCTTGATAGTGGGTCAGATATGTACATGCTTTTTCCTGGTTTGTATGACAACTAAATTATAATGTAATAATTTTAATCTCATTCTCAGGATTCTTGGTGAAATCGACTGTAATTTTTTTTAAATTGATTCCAGTGGTTTGTGATCACTGTGGACTTTTACACAAGCTCCATAGACAAAGTAGTGAAACCTCTCTATAGTAAATAAAATAGTTACATGGTGTGCCGAACGTCATTAAATCTGCACTTTCATCATCCAGTTCCACTTGACAATAACCATCCTTCATGTCTAAAACGTTGAAGAACTGTGCTCTACCTAGTAGAGTTACAATTTCATCAACAAAAGGAATTTGAAAGTGTTCTCTCTTGATGGCTTCATTAAGTTCTTTTGGATCAAGACATAACCTTACGTCTTCATTTGGCTTTTCCACAATGACAAGTGGGTGAACCCACTCTGTTGGTTTATCTACCTTATGACTCATTGTTCTTCAATATCACGCAGTTTATTTTTTAAACGTTTTCGTAAAGCATGTGGAACCTGTCTTATGACTCCTGTCATGCCATCTTGTTACCAACATGCATAATATGATTGTCATTTAACTGGGTATCATACAAACCAGATGCGCGAACAATTCCCGCTGAATCGAGTGCACCTTCGTTTGTTTTCCAGGTGCCGAGAACTAACCTGACGATCGAACCCTCCTCTACAAAATACGAGACAAACAGAAGCTTCAGATATATCTACAAAAAAACTGTTTAATCAGGGGATTCTAAATTTAGTTTAAAAACACTATATATTTTAAAGAACAACTTTATTATCATTAGAGATATTAAGAATAATTAGAACAAATGAAATTGCAAAAGAATACATCAACCATCAGAAAAAAAAACAACAACAACAGTCAGACATATTGGATCTGGAGTCAAAGCAGTATTACCAACTGATGAAAAATTAATTAATTACAAATATTTTTCTTCTATAAAAGATGTTTTCAGTCAATAGATTTTGATAAAATAATCTTTACAATCTTTTAGCGGTATTAGTTTGATATGAACTTTTTCCTTTCTATTTGTTCTTATTGATTTTATTATTCTCCATGCTTCGCTTGCTTTGCTAAAACCTATTCTATATTTGTTCTATTTTTTACACTTATTACTGTTCTGAAGCTATTTTCTTGTGTCATTTTAAAGTAATTACTATTTTAATGGGAATGACCTACAATTGAAGGTTAAAATAAGTTTATTGCCGTTTCAATTTCCACTCCGGAAATCGTTCTTAAAATACAAACATTAATAAATTTTAAACAAATTTTGTTTTTTTGTTACTTCATGGAAAATTCTTCTAATAATTTAATTTTATCTGATTCATTTATATTGACATTTATATTGACATTATATATTATATATTTTAAAGTAGACGACTTTAAAATGATATTGCTAGTTGCGTCCCTGAGAGGACTTTATTGTAAGATAGTTCATTCGATTACATGAAATCAACTTTAACTAAGAATATCGGTCAGAAAAAATCATAGCATATAATTCGTCTTTAAAAAGATCAATGTCATGATGACAGTAAAATTCTGCTGTTAGTTATTCCATAGTAAATCATGAGGAAAAAAATCAGGAAAAAAACCACATAATACTATCTTGACATGGTAAGTATTTGGTCATACATTTAGTTCACTCTCAATAAACACCAAATTCTGATTTTATATGTTTGTTAACAAAAAAAAAAGAAAACAAAAAAAATTAAACAAAACATAACCAAAGAGGAGCTGAAGGTTATAAGAACTTAAAAAAACGACAACTTCATAATTATTCTACCAGCAGATAAGGGAAATGCAACTGTGATAATGAATAAAATTCAATATAAAAACAAAATCAAAGATCTAATAAGAAACAAACCTTATACGAAATTAACAAAGGATTCGACAAAGCCTTTGGAAAACAGAATATATAGAACTTTACTCAAGTTAAAAGATTATTTAACCAATAATCAAAGAAGATTAATTACACCTCATTACAGTAAGACCCCTCATTTCTATGGAGTACCGGAGTTCATAAAACGAATATACCACTTAGACCTATTTCTAGTACCATGAATTCTCCTTGTGGTGGACTGTCAAAATTTTCATTAAATATTATAGAACCATTTGCAACTAAAAATGACACATTTATAAAAAATACACAACATTTTTTAAATAAATAATCAAATATTGATTTAATTCAAATAATATTTTTAAAAGTTTTGACATAAATATTTTATTTACAAATGTGCCATTAGGCAAGACTTTGAATATAATCAAGACAAAATTTGAGAGTGGTGACACATTGGCAACTAGAACAAGATTAAATATATCTATATACCTAATGGAGTTATTGGCATTATGCCGTGATAATACATATTTTCAACTAAATAGTGAATTCTATAAACAAAATTTTGGTCTTGCAATGGGCTCTAGTTTATCTACATTATTAGCCGATATATTTATGGAAGATTTTGAAACAAATATTATTTCTAAACAAAATTTAAAAAACACAGTATGGTCGAGATATGTAGATTATGTAATCACCAACAGATATTTAAATTATAAATCAAATCATAATATCAATATTAAAAAGGGAATAATTAAATCCTTATAGAATAGAGCCAAAATTATTTGTTCTAAAGAAAACTCGATCTGTTTTATTAAATAATGATTATCCTTTATAGTTTATAAATAAGGAATTTTCAACAATCGACCGAATAGAACAGAATAACTTAGAACGAGATCCTTCAGCATACACAAGGAATAATACGAGGAAAATAAAAATACCATATACAAAAGGATTATTAGAAAAAAGTAAAAAGATAGGAAATAAATTTAAAATTTCAATAATATTCTAAACAACAAACACATTGAACAACCTAACAATGAACCTAACAATGAACAAGAAAGAACAAATAATTGCATTTATAAAATACTTTGTGAATGCGATCAGATTTATTTAGGTGTAACATCAAAGCCATTAAATGTTATAATAAGTGACATGAATCTTTATTAAAAATAGAGAATTTGATAGATCTTAAATATGTAAACACGCATGGGAAAATGAGCATAGAGTTTAATTGAATGATTCAAGTATAGTCCTAAAATGATGCATCGTTTATGTTTTTTAAATAACAAAACATATAAAATCAGAATTTGGTGTTTATTGAGAGTCAACCAAATGTAAGACCAAATACTTACCATGTCGTGATAGTATTATGAGGTTTTTTTCTTGAAGGAAGGATGAAGGAAAACTTTCTTCTCATTATTTACTATGGAATCACTAACAGAAAAATTTTACTGTCATAATGGCATGTGGTTGTATTTTTAAAGATGAATTAGTTGCTATGATTATTTCTGACGGATATTCTCAAGTTAAAGCTGATTTCATGTAATCGAATAAACTATCTTACAATAAAGTCGTCCCAGGAACGCAACTTAGCAATATTGGCAATACCATTTTAAAGTCGTTTACTTTACTACTTTTCAATAAGTAACAAAAAACAAAATTTGTTTAATGTATTAATGTTTTTATTTTGAGAACGGTTTCCAAAGTGAAAAGTCAATAAACTTAAACTTATTTGAATCTTCAATTGTGGTTTTTTTCCCATTAAAATAGTAATTACTTTACACTTATTGTCCCATACTTTTTTCCTTTAGCACTGCTTTTTTGACATATTTACGGCATCTTGTATAGTATTTCCGACCTTCTATGTCTTTCTTCATTAACCACATGCTATTGTACCCGTTTTTGCTACCTTGACTCTAATATATTCACTCCACAATTTTTTCTTGTTATCCTTCGATCTAGAATTTGTTCGCTCATAGCCATTTCATTTATAAATTTTATTATATTTTAATATCAATTTAGGGCAGACGAATACGCCACATTATTATGCTTCAAGTTTAATCTCATTTTGTAGAGAAACGCCGTCGCCGTAGATTTTAGTCTATTTATTTTTATATTTTGTCACAAGATTCCCGATAATGTGAATCTACGGGATTCTCAGAATGTGTCGCTAATAAAGACATCATCAGAGAAATAGTGTTTTAATACCGTTTGAATTGTTTGAATTATATCAACGAAATAAAACAATAGTGGTACAGTATAAAAATATTTATTGTTTTTTATATTATTTATTTATAAATATCTGACTAAATCCACTCTTTTTGAATCACGATTTTGAATAAAAACACAAATTTCCTTCTAGCAATAGGATGTATGGTACTAACTGTTAAATTTTTGATTTGGTCAAAGTTAGTTTTCTCTCCTTTTTTGGCAAATATTACAGTGGTGTTCATCATAACTATATGCATAAATTCTAAAAGAGCGTTTTGCCTTAGATTATTTATAAAATCGAGATATTTAAATGGACCTACGTCACATCCAAAAGATTCTAAAGTTTTAATGAAATGTTCATGGTACAACATTAAAAGATAATCAAAATGTTCTTCTAAAACGACTACATCCACACTGGTAATAAGAAAGAAAAATAGATCTAACGTAATATCTTGTACAGAGTACATTTGAAAGTCCACAAATTTATTTTTTATCATCTTTCCATCTTTGTCCTTCTTCTGCATAGTATTATTTAACCACATATCTTTATGTAGAAGTCCAGAAAATACCGATTTGTTTGGATCAGGCTTACTGAATAACTTTCCTTTTTTAAATTTTTCCTCTTCAGCATCGAGTAGAGCATCCAATTTATCTACATATTTTCTACAAAAATTATCTCCTTTTAATATTTGTTTCAGTAAAGTTCTTGGTACTGATGGTGGGCCACGATCTTCACCAGGTCCTTTGTCTTTGGGTTTGTCCATAAACTTTGGTGGGCCTGGGCAGTTGTCGATAAATACCTTTTTAAACAAATCCGGGTCTTTCAGTTTGATTGCTATAGGAATTGCGTGGAATGCTGCTAGGTCAGTCAACAGTAATTTGCTACCATCTAAGTCGAATCCCTTGTGCCTGTCTTCATTAGTATATCCTGCAAATTTAAAAGCATTTATTAAAACACAAACTAAACACTTTAAAATTTTGGAGAAGCCACTAATATAAAACAGATACAGTGAACGGAAGACCCGATAAAATATTCTACGAAAAATATAGAATAAGTAGTTAAGAAATCAAAAATTTTCCTGTAAATGATAATATAAAAGTGAAGTAAGCTGGTAAAATGTAAAGTATCACTGAGTATTTGGTTTTGGTTGTGTTGAATGTGACCAAAAACACTCTTAATTCGCTGTTACTGTTTCTACTCTTTATCAAGAAACAAAACGCCAAATGATCAACAAAAAAGCAGAAAATGGCTAAAAGGTGACCAACCAGAATGCGGCAGCTCATTTGAAGAACAAAAAATAGATTACCAAAGATATGACAGTGGCGAGATTTAAATTAAATAAGCTAAGAACATAAATATCAGCCATGAAAGAAATAATCAAGTTGCTGAATGAATTAAAAGTAGAAATTAGAAATGATAACCAGTTTACCAATTAAATACAGTTACTTAAGGTTGTACATGTTCGCCATACCTAGCAATTATATCTATAAATCAATTAGCAATTGATCACTGTAATACATTACCGACAGCTTAGCAGACAATTCTTAATGATTTCTATGTTGATGACTTAATAAGGAGCTCCAATGATCTTTCAGAATTACAAGCCCGATGTAAAGATATTTCAGACATATAAAAATCAGCACAATTTATTCTTAAAAAATCGGTCACAAATAGTCAGAGTGTTTTAATGAACGTTCCATGTTGCGATATTCCGAATGAAATTTTAAATTCGGTGAATCTTAAAGCTGTAAAACCTAGGTGTACAATTTAACAGTAACAAAGATGTTCTAAATTTTAAAATATCTTCAATTCCACGCAATAATTTAATTACCAAGGCAAATATATTATTATCTATCATTTAACAGATCTGGAATCCCCTTGGTCTTCTCTCTTAAGTAATTGTACTTTCTAAACTCATAATTTAGAAATTGTGTTTCATCAAATTAAAATGGGTCATCAACATGACATTTATATTCAATGGAGATAATTTTACAATCAATTGTCTAAACTCAATCAATTAGAGATTCCTAGATTCCATACTAGACACTCATTGTTTCTGCGATGAATAAAAGCATCCTAAGATGCTGATGCAAGTTGCATATATTTCTGAAGCACAGATGCAATTATCAATTGCATCTGTGCAAGTCATTTAATTTAGTCCATAGGTATAATTGCACAATTAAAGCGAATTACAAATCCCAAATTAGATTTATGTGCTGTTGACTGTGAGCACAATTAACAGCCCAAGTTGTCAATGCCAATTCACCGTCATTACCGATATACTATTGGTCCGACTCTCAGATAAAAAACGGTTCTAATCAGTTACAACAATTCGTAGCCATCCACGTCGCCAAAATTCAACAGTTAACCAACAATGATGATTGAAATTATGTTAATGCTCAATAAAATCCTTCAGACCTGGCTTCCAAAGGAGTTTTACCGGAAGATCTAGTTAACCGTGACTTATGGTGTATGGTGTATGAAGCTCTGTTTTCTGCGTGGTCCTATAGACAAATCCGCCCCTCCTGCCATACCTAAACTTGAACTTCCTGAGAAAAAGGTTAAAAGTTTGATGTTAGTAGCTAACCAGCCACCACTCTCGATTATCAAATATTTTAACTTTAAAACATGTCCTTAGTTATTGTCTTCGATTTCGTAATCAAGCTTGTAAAAAAGATCAGAAAGAACGATAGGTCCTTTAACTCTTTTAGAAGTAGAGCAAGCATTATTGCGGTTAATTAAACTTGCACAATTGGATTCATTTGCTACTATTGGATTTATAATTTAAATTGTTATTTGCTAGAAATATCTATTTAAATTCCAATAAACCATCACCACTCATACATAAACTTTCACATCTTACTCCATTTTTAGATGAAAACCATGTATTATGAGTAGGAGGGCGACTTAGATTATCTGAATTAGACTTTAACTCTAAACCCCTATATTAATTTCATTTAACCGTCCTTTCACCAAGTTGCCATTTGAACATAAACATAAAGGTATATTACCATGCAGGTCCACAACTCGTTCTCTCATCAGTTCGACAATATTATTGGCCAATTCGGAGTACAGACTTTGTAAAAAAACTGTAAGAAATTGTCTTACTTGTTTTAAATTTAAACCTACATTTGCCAATTGTCGAATGGCCAGTTTGTCCGAACCTCGCACAACCCCATCACTGCCATTTCAGTACTGTGGCATATATTTTGCAGGACAATTACTATATATTTCAATAGACCAGGTAGGTGATCCAAAGAAATAAAAGGTTACGTTTGTGTTTTTGTACCAAAGCAGTTCATATTGAACTCATTTCAAATCTCACACATGACTATTTTCTATCCTGCTTAAAGCGTTTTATAGCTCGACGAGGTATCCCAAACGACATTTATTCGGATAACAGATCCACTTTCGTTGGAGTTGGCAATAAACTTAAACAATTTGGTCAATTTATTTTATAAAATAATACTTATATTCACAATTATACTATTAAACATAATATAAATTGGCAATTGTAAAATTTCATTTCACCGTATACACCAAATATTGGGGGCCTTTAAGAGGCGACAATCAAAGGTATGGAACACCATTTAAAAAGGGTGTTTCACAACAGAGGATGTGTAAGCATAATTCCAATAGGCAGCCTCTCCAACTACAAAGCGATTCGGCACATGTATCAAACATTTTGGAATCGTTATGTGAAAGAATACGTTTTGCAACTACAGCATCAATACAAATGGAAAGAATCCTTGCCTCATCTGAACATTGGAACTTTAGTGTTAATCCGTAGTTCCCAACAAACACCGTGTAGATGGCCTTTGAAACTTATTATAGATGAACTTTCCAGAGTGGCATAAGTAAAAACAAACAATAGATCTGTTATTCGTTCTGTTCGTCTTTTATGTCCGTTGCCAATGCAGCAAGATAGTATTGATTCATAAGATTATATTTATATTTATTATCTATTTTGAAGGTAGACTTCAACGAGGGAGTTTGTTTAAAATATCCATGAGGGGATAGTAAAAGGGAGACATGAGAAGAAGCAAAAAATCTTAAATACGAAGCATAAAGTAGAAATTCTACTACAATTTAGTATTCGAACACTATATCAGAATAGGCTACAAAATATGGTATATATGAACTAATAATGGACTCCAACAGAAATGTATCAATACCGAAAGGGAAAAAAAACAAGACAAAGAGGAAAACGAAGTGCTAGGTGCTGGATATTGAATGACATAGAAATAAATATTTGGAATAAACACAGTGACGACCTAGAAGAGATAATTAAAAAGAAAAAAGGAAGTTTCATAAATGGCTAACCTACAGAATCCCAGGAACACGAGAAGAATGTGCTACCATCAGACAAGTAAAGCAAAGAATAACAAAGAATAAGGCTCGAGAAGAACGAATACTGGGAAAGAATTTTGCAGATACATAGAAAAAACGATAGGGTATACCAGATCAATGGAAGCATAAAAAAAATAATAATAAACATCAGAAGAAATAAACAAGGTAAAAATATTTAAACAGATAATTAATAGAAGATAATAGAATAAAATAGAAGGAGTGGACAAAGCAATACACAAAATTATTTCAGGAGAATAGACCGGAGTATATCTGACAAGAACTGTGACAGTAAAAACAGAGGAAGCCGAAATCACAGAAAAAGATATAACTAAAACACTAAAGAAAGCCAAAAACAACAAAGCGTTTGGTCCAGGAAACTTAAAAATGGAACTATTGAAATATGCAGGTGTAACGATAAAGGTGTAAAGGTGACCACTACTTTTTAGTAAAGAAAGAAAATGAGCTATAAGGACTTATAGCTTATATTCTTATATACTTCATCTAATTTACATACCGATGCACGTCATTATCTACGTCAGAGATCGAAGTTGACATAGTTGCCAAAGTATAAAAAAATCCTGACTCCATTTTAAATCAAATAGATCACATAATTATTGCAAAAGTATTACCATCTCTTTACAACGACTATTTAAATTCTTACGTGACATTTTTGAAATAAAACACAGTAATTTTGTTCTAAAAAGAACAGATTTTATTAAATATGTAAAAATATAAAAACGGAGGTATTCACTTTAAAATTCAAAATAATAAAGTACAAAAAGTGTCAACACCGCAACTGTCAAATAAGTGTTACCAATTTATGCCAAAATTTCACTTTCGTTCGATGATGGTTATCGTGTGTTCCGAACAAATGTTCTTCATAAAAACGCTTTATAATGCATTTATACAAATTAAATGAAACATATTATTGTGTATTTCTTCAAATTAACATTAATAGAAATCTTTAAATATTATTTCTACGCGTATATAATAAAATATGTCTAGGGGCCAGTGTATTCGGCAAAGTGATTCTAAAAAAGAACACACCTAGCGCCTAAATATTTCTTGTTGGTATCATGTGACGTCACGGGCTATGACGTGCATCGGTATGTAAATTAGATTAAGTGTATATTCATATGTATAGGAGATAAATATGTGTAAGATCGAATACTTTCTATGTGTAATGTATTGGATTCGAGGTTGCTGTTTTAAACTTAAGTTTGGAAGAAGAGACTATTAAGTGTTTAGGGTCAATGATAAGCCGAGATGGTACTTGTATGAAAGATATAGAACAACGCTGTAACCAAAGAAAACACAAAAATGATCTTTAAGAGTATATTGATGAATATTACCCCTTATGGAGAGGAAGTATGGCAATGACAAAATCAATACGAAATAAAATAGGAACAGTTGTAGTGGACTATATGAGATGCCTATTAAATAACATAGCGGATAGAATAAGAACAGAGGAAATATGGAACAGAATGGAAGTAGAATTCTCAATTAGGGGAGAGTGGCAATGAAACGGGCATTTTACTGTATAGACTTATATTTATTGCAAAGAGGTTTATACCTACAAAAATAAATTGGTAGTAAAAAAGTACATTCTTAACCTATCATTAATAATAAAAATTGGCTTTCTAAAGCTTCATAATATTGACATAACAGTATATGAAACTAATTAGTCAATTTATCCGTTTCACTACTTCGGTGTATTAAAACGGAGAGATAGTGTTTTGAAAAGGACAGCAGTTTACTTGTAATGTTCATGTAGCTCATCAACAAATATGAAAAAAAAACAATATTAACAACTTAAAAGCATTAAATACAATATAAAACATTAATTACAATTGTTACAATTACAATTATTACAAAAGAAATGGCGAACTCCTTGTAGGTCACAAGATAACACATATAACATTGCAACCAGTCTATCTTACTTTAAATGTAGTCTCTATTACAGACTCAGCATATCTCATCTTAATTTTTTTCATTAGAGAATTTTGTTTGATTTTTATTTGTTTCTTTCTTTGTATTTTTTGCTTTCTCAAATTCATCAAGATGCAAGTCCTTTTCAATGCTTGTCGTTTGTTCGACGTATTTTTCCAGAACCATTTTTAATTTTCTTTTTGGCATTATATTTTTATCTTTGGTTTCGTTAAATATATTAAGAGAAAGGTTGTCATTGTCATCTCTTGAGTCGTGTAACGTTATATTTGAACGTGAGTCATCAGAACTTGATTCTTGACATAAGCAGCTTTGACTGCGTTTTCTTGTGACTTTTGATATTTTCCGTGTTTTACGAGTAGCTACTTTTTTTTCCTCCATGAGTCTATCTTTCTCGGGGGTATCTGTGATAATTGTAGTTTTATCTTTTCTGGGCCCTCCTAGCTTTGATTTTCGGGGACCAGCTTTGTAATACGGTCTTATTTGATGTGGAGATACATATGGAACATCTCTTGAAGTAGATGGAATATCTCTTGAAGTATATGGAACATATCTTAAAGTAGATGGAACATCTTTTAAAGTAGAAGGTAAATCAAGAACATTACTTTCATTTAATGTCAATAAAGATTGTGCATCAGCAATTTTATCGGTTGATGAGCATGGCACCAAAGTCATATGTATTTTATGATTGTCTATAAGAATAAGACATGATTTTGTCTTTGGATGGACTGGTATACTTGAAAAAATGTTTAATTGCTAATAGAAATTCTTCTTCTATTATCTAACTGCTTGGATTAGCTAAACCTAAAGCACCTTTTGGACCATCTTTTAGCATAAAATCTTTATAATGAACTCTTAGGAACACAAATACTAGAGTAATTGTGCCCCCAGAAGCATTCATAAAACCTACCATAGTCACTAAATTGCCTCTTTCGGCCGAAGTTACTTGGCCAACCTATTTTATTCCTTTTATTGCTATGACCAGGAGGATTTGTTACAGTACTGTAGCCAGTTTCGTCAATGTTCCATATCATGTGTGGCTTAAAAGTAAATCTCTTTAAGACCGTTTCTAAATTATCATATAACCTAGCTACATTTTCAGAATTAAAAGATGTAGTTCGTGATAAAGAAGTATTCTCGGGCTTTTTCATAAAAAGAGTACAATTTCGTTTTATAAAACCAGGAAACCAATCCTTAGTGGAAATCGTAGGTGCTGTATTCTTTACTTTAGTGTATTGAAAAACATTTTCTTGCAAAACAGAAAATATACGTTTATTACCAATGTCCGTCTGATGATGATATTTAACTTAATCTTTCTTAGCAGTTTTACAAATTTCTGCCAAATATGACTTTGAAATACTATGTGCGGCCGCCATTGATCTAATTAATTACTTTCATTCTAGAGCCTCTTTTACCGCCAGGTCAATAGTTTTACTTGTGGGACTAACCCTCTTCCTCTCTACTACGCTCATTGCATAAAACAAAATAAAAATCATATAAAAACGAATTTGAACGTATATTTTTGATATGGTGTTTTGAAACAGACAACATCCAATTGACTTGGATATAATATTTATATTTGATATAAGGCCAGAAGAATGTATAAAAACAAATATATAACTATAAATTTTTAATTACTTACTGTTTACTTGCAAATGCGGTTTGGAAGTTGCACAAAAAATTTACTTTTTAGGGCCCGAAAATAAAAATGCACGTTTAGCTCGAATTAACTTCAGGAAGCCACGTATTTATGGACAGGCTGACGTAATGGATACAACGTTGCCACGGTGTGCTGCAGTGGAGCTTAGATTAAATTGTTAAAGCAGTTATTTTTTTTAGCGGCTGTCCGTTTCATCACACGTCCGTTTGATGGCCACCTTTCCCTACGAAAAAGTTGGAAAACAGAGCCGTGCAGTGGTATGGGCATGTAAAAAGAATGCCAGAGCATATGAGGTCAACAAGAATATTGGACTGGAACCATCCGGGAAAAACTCAATGAGAAAAACCTGCTACCAGATGGAAAACATACATAGGAAATGCTATGATAGATAGAGACCTTAGAGAAGGTGACTGGGAGAATAGAGTACTGTCAAGGACGAAAACTAATAATGGGAAAAAGCCGAAGAAAAGGATATTCTGAGTGCCATAGAGCGAGATATTGTAAATTATTGTAGAGCGCTTTAATTTGAATTTTCAGTCTAAATAAAAACAGAGTTCGGAAAGTTTTCCCCTTCACTTTAACATAGTGATATTTTATGAGTACGATCACTTTACTAGATTATAACTTTTTACACCTTCTCTGTGTATGCCATCTATAACTTGGATCATACAATCGAGATCTTCAGTTATAATCTGTTTAATCTTCAGCTCTTAACGTTAATAAACAACAATGGAAATATGATTTAAAAAATACTATCTTATTTCTTATTGTTCATATAAGGTTCTTTTATAAAAAGATAGTTAAGGTATCTTAAATGTTTCTTCTTCTTACGGTGGTGCCCTATCCTTAAGGACGTTGGCCATTACATTTGCCCATTTAATCTTATTTGTAGCAGCCCTAAATAGTTCTATAGAGGTCATGCTCGTCCATTGCCGTAGGTTTTTAAGCCATGAGTTGCGTCTTCTTCCTGGTCCTCTTTTGCTATTGACTTTGCCTTCGATTATAAGTTGGAGCAGTTCATACTTTTGATTTCTTATGATGTGACCAAAATATTGTGTTTTCCGTTCTTTTATTATAAGCATAAGCTCTCTTTCCTTATTCATCCTCCGCAAGACTTCCGCATTTGTCGTATGGCTCATGTAGGATATTCTGAGCATTTACGGTAACCCCAGAGTTCGAATGCTTGGATTCTTTTTTGTGTTGCTTCTGTCATTGTCCAGGCTTCAACACCATAGAGCAAGGTGGAGAAAACATAGCACTTAAGTATTCTAGTTCTCAATGAGATGCCCAGCTGGCGGTTGCATAGAACTTTTTGCATTTTGTAAAACATTGTACGTGCCTTTTCCGTCCTAAATGTTTATAAGCTAAAAAGTCCATTTTTAAGCGGTTTTTTAATAACAATTTTGATAAAATGTGGAAATTTTAATATATCTAAGTAAAATTAAAGTCTCAAATAATCGATTACCATGCTAAATTCCTATAGACTCACTGTTTGGGCAAGTACAGTTGTCAATCTCCTGAATAAACAAATTAAATATTTGATCGATACGGCTGAGATTTAGCATACTTTTTTTTTCAATTTCAAATAGATTTTTTTTTACAATTATGTCGGTCAATTGTGTATGCATTTTAATTTTAAAATTCCAAATTAAAGTTAAAGATCTTTTAACTAAAATGTATAAGAAACGTTTTATACACACAAAAAAATTATTTTTTCACTTTTTATGATTCTTAAAAACAAAGCAAAATTAGCTGTATGTCTTCACGGATTTGTCACATGCTACCTCCCATATAAAATACCTTTTAGAACTTTCAAATAGCTCTATAAGATTTTTACGTGAAATCGATGATTTTTTCATAGATTATCTGGAGTATAAGGTTATGTGTAAAACAGCTCCTTATATAACGTCAAGAATTGGATTACAAGAGCAGAAAATTTATTATGTATTAAAAAATAGTCGAGTATTTAATAGTCGACAGGCTTTAATAACATTTGCTGGTGCAGCACTTCAAGAAGAACATTGACCTTAACTTCATACCAGAAAAATGGAAGAAACAACAGTACTTTGGACGAAAACACACGCCTCAGAAACATTACCTTAACGTATTTATAACTTATTATTATTATAATTATTATTATAAAACTAAATATTTTTACCTGCCACTTGAAGATTTTCCAAAAGCAGAACTGCATTCTCGTCAGGATCTTCTTTACCATCAAGATTATATCTAGCAGCAATCAATTTTGGAAAAAAATCGACTTCCTTCAGACCATGTTCTTTTGAAAACTTCTGCATTGTTGGTATTATTTCATTATAGAAGGCAATTTCTGGTTTAAACATGTGGCTATTCGCCTCAGCCAGTTCTTTTGGCATCTTCTCGTCGACCATACAACATTTTGCGACAAAATGTTCGGTGTTTGTAGCATTAGTGTCCTTATTCTTGGTTGTTACTTGCAATTTGAGCATGTCACTCCAGTAATTTTCTCCTGGGAGTGTGAGATTTGATATTGTCTTGTCCAATATTTCAACATTTTCTCCAAAAACTTGTTTTAATAAATTATTTAAGTCTTTTATTCGTTCGCCTTCCATTTTTCACTAATGGTCCACTGATACAAGAAATAAATTTTTAAGACTAAATAATTATACATTTAAGATGTACTTATAGTTGTCAGTATCTATTAGAATACCGATCTAGTATCATGATAAAATTTTTATAATAAAACAAGCGTATCTTGAAATCGAATCGAATATTTTAAATTTTTGTATAATAATAATAAACACGGAATTACCACGAGGAATTTATTTGCGAAAAATGAGTTTTTATAAAACCCATTTTAAAAAAGTCATACATGGTTTTGGTTTTTTTATATTAAAATATCAAGTTTTAGATTTAGAGGCAGTGTTCTCGGAATGCTGTTAGGTTAATAATTAAAGGTCTGCTAAAAGACTATTTTTTATAATTCGAGCATTCAAATGTGTCTATATTTTTTTTACAAGCTATAAGAAAAAGTAGCCGATAAAGTGAAAACAAAAATATTGTAAAAAATAACTCACCAGATAAATCTAGATTGGTCAATTGAAACTACTAACTTCATTAAAATTATGTTCTTAGATCACTCAATCAGTTTATAACGATCTACACCGTCTTCTGATTTCCAGTCTCCATTTATCTCGGTTGTTCCAAAAAGTTTCTTCAACTTTCCTCTTCCTTAAGTCTTTATTGATTCCTTCTCTCCAACTTAATCTAGGTCTATCTTGCTTTCACCAATGAAGAAGTACTGAGGAGGATGAACAAAACTGCGGATTTGGTCAACATCGTGAAGGGCAGCCTTCATGATAGCCAGATAGAAACATAGCCAGAATAATCGCCAACATTCGGAATGGACAGGCACCCTAAGAAGAAGAACCTTTCTTTCTTCTTCCATGCGGTGTCCAGTTTAATGATTTCTTTAGTAATCTGTGTTCATCCATTTTTTGAACGTGTCCATACAATCTTAGTTGATTTATTCTGATGTCCTCTGTTATATTGTACTTAACACCCATAATTTCTCGTATTCTTTCGTTCCTAACTCTATCCAATCTTGATTTTCCAGCCGCTCTTCTCCGAATCTATGACAAAAGGACGCGGAAAACAGGACGCGAGACCAAAGGACGCGGAAAAAAGGACGCGCGAAAAAAGGACGCGCGAAAAAAGGACGCGTGGAAAAAGGACGCTTGGTTGTTATTTTCAACACAAAGAAATTTAAGATTTATGGAACAACGCGATCATTGGTATGCCGATGGAACATTTAATTCAGCACCACCATTGTTTTCTCAAATATACACAATTCATGGAGTGCGATACAGTAATGCAATCCCGACTGTATTTGCACTTCTAACGAACAAAACACAAAGACTTATACACGTGTTTTTCAGAAACTAAAGGTGTTGAATCCGGCCTTGCGCCCTCTAACAATAATGATGGACTTTGAAAGAGCGGCAATGAATGCTGCACAAACTGAGTTCCCAAATGTGAGAATCCGCGGATGTTTTTTTCATTTCTCGCAGTGTATGTGGCGCCATATTCAAAGTGCCGGATTGCAACGTAGATATATTGAGAATCCTGACTTCGCGCTTCACCTAAGACAATTGACAGCTCTTGCGTTTATTCCAGACAACCATGTAGTCAGAGTGTACGAGGAGTTGCTCAATAGCGATTTTTATACACAAAATGAACAAAGAGCATGAAAATGAACATTAGCTAGAAGAGGAAATCGAAGACAACGTTTTTTTTCCAGCAAATGTATGGAATTGTTACGATTTGGCAGATCAAGATATACCTCGAACTAATAATGCTGTCGAAGGATGGCACAACAGCTTTTATTCTCTTCTCAATAGTGCACATCCGAATATTTGGAAATTTATTAATTCTCTAAAAAAAGAATATGATTTAGATGTTTTGAAAATAGAGCAGTACATTTCGGGCAATGTACCTCCACGCAAAAGAAAATATCAAGATACAGCAAACAGGATAAGGGCTATTGTTGCCGATTATGCTGACAGGCCAACTTTAGAATATTTGAGAGGCATTGCTCACAATTTTCAGTTGCAAACATCAACAAATACAAAAAAAATTAATATCAAAAATAAAACAAAAAAAAAATAACAAAAAATTCCAAAAAATACATAAAATAATAAAAAAAAAGCTGCTGCCAGTCCTAAGCCTGGATAAAGTGTTAAGGCAAGTTTTTTTCATATATTATTTTTCACTTTTTACTTTTACCGTAACCGATTTTAGGTTAGGTAGAATCATTTTCTGTAATTATATATAGGGGATAAACGGGGGTAATTGCTATTGTCAATTAAAATAAACTATTTACAGTATTTCATTAATAATTGTTAGGGACAGTATGCATTTTTACATTTAATATTTTTTCTGGTACGGTTCTGTAATATGATCTAACTTAGGGTTGTATTCTAAAGAACTTTTAAAATATATTATTTCCTGTTCACTCATAAATCTTAAACTGGATATCTCATTTATGATGTTGTAAATACGGAGAATTTGGCTTCTCTTTTTATGGTTCAAAAACATACACACAAGTTTAAAGTGTCGTGTTAACGTCACAATTAGCTAAGATTATCGGGAAGGTCGCCATGCAATGGAAAGATTTATGGGTAGACCCTTCCGGACCACACCGCTTCGAGGGTCCTTAACTCTGACCATATTAACGCATTCTCAACTGACACTTCTTTGTCAGACAACGATCGATCGACACGCATCTAGTTCTCGTGCCAAGCCTCGGGACGGTGACGCCAGCGTCGGTACCACCGACCGACTCTTCAGCCTGGTACGAATTCATCAATAGAACCAAAGGGTAAGTCTATTCTTGTATAAAACATTGGTAATGAGTAAACCAGTTTATTTCTAATTTATTTCTACTTTTACAATTTATAATTGCTATTTTCACCAATTTTATGTATCAACAATATCACATTTTTTCGTTATAATTATTTATTCAATATAATTTAAACCAGCGACTTCTCAAGTTTAATCACTAAACAATAATATGCGTCCTTTTTTATGCGTCCTTTTTTCCGCGTCCTTTTGTCGGTATACCCTCTTCTCCAGAAGTCCATTCCTGTTGCTTCTAATGATTTTAAGTTTTTTTCCTTTCAGTGGCCATACCTCACTTCCATATGTAGCAATGCTTTTTATAATGCTGTTATAGATTTTGTGTTTATTTTCTTTGGAGATTGTTTTGTCCCACAACACACTGTTTAATTGCCTACTGGCTTTTCTTCCCTGGTTATTTCTATGTTTGATTTCTTCGATTCTAATTTGCCATCATTGGTTATTTGCATGCCTAAACATTTGTATTTTTGACAGTGATTTATTTCTCGCTGTATTGAATTCATTTTGTTGAATTCTCCCAATACACCTATATTCAGTTTTCTTGATATTTATTTCTAGCGCCCATAGTTCGTATTCTTCAATGGGTCATTGAAGAATACCATTTACGGGTCAAACATCCGAGGTCTTCATAATCTTGGGCCATCACTATCTGGTCGTCTGCAAAACTTAATGTTTACAATATTGCGTCGTTTAGAAGAATTACTATGTTTTTGCATTTAATTTTCCACGTCTTCATCGCTTGCTCCGAGTAGATCTTAAACAAAGTAGGAGACACGCAACATCCTTGTTTGAGTCCTTTGCTGATAGTGCAACCCTTAGATACCTCCTGACCTTTCTTTATTTTACTTGTGTTATTCTTGTAATTGATTAAGTTTACACTAATATTTGTTTTCTCGAGAGCTTCGCAGAGTCTATGTTGTGGCACACTATCATAATAATTTTTAAGGTCCACGTAGAGGAGAGGTATTGGTTAATTTCGTGCTATTTTTTTTTCGATTAGTTGGGTAACAGTAATCAGATGGTCAATAGTTGATCTACTTCCTCCAAAGCCGACCTGTTCTTCGGCCTCCATATTACATAATTTATCTTTCATTACCTTTTTGATGAGTTTCCCGTAAACTCTCGAGATTGTGCTAAGGACTGCGATACCTCGATAATTGTCACACACATCTTTTCTTCCCTTCTTATCTATTATCGTGATAAATGATATTCTCCACTCCTCAGTTATACTCTCCCCGTTAATACATTTTTGGTAAAGGCTGGCTAGCTGCTTATATAATTTGCTTGTACTGTAATTGAATAGCTAAGGTGGGATATTGCCAGGGCCTGGTGATTTTCTATTCTTATATGCTTGGCATACTCGTGCTACTTCTTTGTCGTCAATGCTAATTGGGGAAGCTATTGTATGTACTTACACCTCTGATTGTGTTTTAAATGTTTGCAAATATTCTTCCCTTTCTTCTGCCAATAGATATGCAAAGAATACGTCCCATTTATCTAGGCTGATCATTGAGATGATGTCTTTAGTCTTATCTTGTCGAAAAGATCGAAGTATTTTCCAGCTTTCAGTGCTTCTGCTACCCCCACCCCCAAGTAAGTGTCTATTCTGGAGCAGTTTTTTCCCAGCTTTCGTTTTTCTTCTTAGTTATCGCATCTTGTACGCTTCTTTGGGATGTTCAATATCTGTTTTTACTTTGATCAATCCTTATATTTAAGTGTTTGTGGTTTTTAACTCGTTTAAATGTTAGATGTTTAACAAAATTTATATTAAGAGGAAAACTGCTGAGACGATATATATATATATATATATATATATATATATATATATATATATATATATATATATATATATATATATGTTCGGATAGATTTCCGCGGTCAGATGAATGAAAATCACTAGGTTCGTTTTCGGGAAGAACCGCGTTGAGAATTTAATACTTGACGTTTCGGCTTCCATTTTGGAGCCATTATCAAGAGGCATTAGGTTCGATTCGAGTTCGGGGTCTCAATCTGCCCATTCCCCTCACTCGAGACGTACCAGTATCGTGTTCTGTATTATAAATACAAGAACTGTCTCTCGGCACTGAGGTCTCAATCTGCCTACTCCTCAGTGTCTAGTGACTCGACTCGTCGAAAACACATAAGAACGTAATATTCTTATTTTGAGTTGTAAACTAAGGTCTCTTTTGCATAATACTTTTCTCATCTTATTAAATGTTGCTCTAGCTTGTCCAATTCT